TTTAATTTTTCTTTTTTCTAATTTTAAGTTCAACGATTCACACAGGGTTTCTATTTCACGTTGATTTGTTTTTTCACCAATTATGGCTATTTCTGTCTTTTCTTTGTTGATGCATAGACCTGATGTCTCTCCAAACTTCTCGAGTAATTTTATAGCTGGCTTTATCGATGTTTCATCTTGGAGAAGTAGTGTAGTGTCATCAGCAAACTGTGTTGTCTTTACTTCTGTATCCAGGCCATCATTCAGTTTAATTCCTTGTATGTTTGTTGCTCTTCTTATGGCTGCGCTTAGTAGTTCTGCTCCAATGATAAAAAGGTAAGGGGATAATGGGCAGCCTTGTCTTACTCCTCTAGTTGGGTTAAAGTAAGGTGAAGTAAAACCGTTATTGAGTATTGTGCTGCTGATGTTGTTATAGAAATTTTTTACCCACTTAATTATATTTTCACCAAAATTAAAGTATTTTAGCGACTTGAGTATGTAGCTAATCTCAATTATGTCGAAGGCTTTTTGAAAATCAGAAATCATTTGTTAAAAGAGTACACATTTTCGTAAAAATCTAAGACTCATGCAACCTTTGACATTAAGCACATAATATATTCATCATATTGGGAGAAATAAGGATGAAAACATTTCATAAAACTTATCACATCTCATAAATCACAACATTGGACGTTTTATTGCCATCACTCCTCATCAACGGACATACACTTAGAGTAATACATGCTTCTGTTCTTAACTTTTTTATGTCTGCTGGTTGTTTTTTCAACTGTTCTTTGTTTTGAGAATTTATTAAGAAGCATTTTAATTGGGTGTAATAGTTGTATACATCTCCTAGTTGTTTATTACAAGTGACATGGCAACTTGTTGATGGCAAAATAGAGCGAAATTGGCCAGATCAACCCATTCCACCTGATGATCTCATAGACATATAGTCACATAAATATTGCAATGGATGCTTTGACAGAAGTAGACATTGAAAGATCTATTAATGAGGATTTTGAGGCAAATGATATTAAAGATGACTAAATAACACCTAGTAAGATCAGCTCATAATTTACTATGTCCCTACGCATAATGTGACAGCTGCATTCTGCATAGTTTTATTATCATAAGCAAATACAATGCATCAAATGGCCCAGATGAAACATCTATTGATTAAATATTATCAGATATACTCAAAATAGGTTTTCTAAAATGTTTTCATGCTAATTCCTCCCAATTTGATGAAAATTTTCAATGTCTTTGGGTGTGTCTTAAAATTTTCTGAAATGTGTACTTTTTTAACAAATAGATTTTCACCCACATCTGACCCACATTCATGAAACTTGTCATAATGGTAGGACATGATAAGTAGAAGATTGTCTGTAAATATCATAATTATTGTTTTCATATTTAAGGAATTAATGACTTTCATAGTACGCCCTAATGTGCACTTTTTTAACTAATGATTTCTGTTACCATAGCAACCTGTTGCCCCGCATTTATGAAATTTGTCATAATGCAAGAACATGGTGAGTAGATAATTATCTGTCAATAACAAGATGATTGGTTAGATATTCTAGGAATTATATATGGCTTTCATAGTACCTCCATTAATGTGGACTTTTTAAAAAACGATTTATATTTCCATAGCAACCAATTGTTACACATTGATGAAAATTGTCATGGTTGTAGGACATGATAAGTAGATGATTACCTGTAAATATCAAGATGATTGGCTGTATATTCTAGGAATTATAGATGGCTTTCATTGTACCCCCCTCAAAATCATACCCATGGGGTATAAAGCTGCATACCATAGTAACCAGTAAACCAACAATGATGAAACTTTCCAAGATAGTCAAACATAATGATGTGAATAATACCTGTTAATTTCAGAGCAAATGGTTATTTATTTTCTTCAAAAAGGTGGACATAATTGAAAGAATTCTTTGAAAAAGTGCCACGTCCCCTTTCTAAATTTATTTGCATTGCCATATAATCATCAGCAATAGATTCCACTATGTGGATAAGATAAAATTGCAGTTGATTTAATATTATCAAACATACTCCGAATAAGTTTTCTAAAATATTTTCATGGTGATTCCTCCCAATTTCACGAAAATAATATGTGTTTTGTCTCACAGGGTGTCTTACATTTTGACGAAAATGTGTACTTTTTTAACATATGATCTTACTTACCATAGCAACCAGTTGATCAACGTTCATGAAACTTGTCATAATGGTAGGACATGATAAGTAGATGCTTACCTGTAAATATCAAGATGATCGGTTATATATTCTAGGAATTATATATGGCTTTCCTAGTACCCCTCTTAAAATTATACAAGGGGGGTATAAATCTGCATATTTCCAAAACGCTGAAAAACTAGACACCAGTGGTTTCAGAATCAACGTACTGTATTTGTTTATTTGTTTCAACGAGGCGTAAATGCTACATATTTATACGTTCAGAATTTTGATGTATAAACGAGCAAGTATAGTTCACCGTTCGATATTTCTATGTATAAATCAACCAATCAAATTGCGTTTTTCTCACGTGCTAGGAATGGACCAATCAGAAAACGCGTTGTATTCCAATATGGCGGGCTGTCCAAGTTTATGATATATTTGTAGTTTTTCTTCCAAGATATCTAGCTAAAAGAAGAAACCATTTCCAGTGTTCTTTCAACTGTTGTCGAGGTAACATATACGTTATAATGGTATTCAAATATTGGCATATATGACATCACATTGTCTCAGCAATTTTGATTTTATAATTTGGGGTAAAATAAAAATTTGATTTTTCCAAAGAAAGAATCTAATACAGTTGTCACTCATAATATTATACTCAAATTGAAGGAATTTTAGAGTAGATCTGAATATGGTATTGTTTTTTTTGAGGTCTCCTCTGCCGAAGGCAGCGCAAAGTAGGAGCGTAGCGACTACTTTGCGGGAGACCTCGTTTCGAGGTCTCCTCTGCCGAAGGCAGCGTAAAGTAGGAGCGTAGCGACTACTTTGCGGGAGACCTCGAACTATTGATCACGTTTGCTCCTGTAATTATTCACTTCTTCACCTCTTTAAAATGTGATTTCAATCAGTTGATCAAATTTTCGGACTTTGACCTCAAATTCAAATATTAATATTTATAAGAAAAAATACTGACTCATAATTATATTTTTAAAAGTCTTTCAAATAAAGTGAAATGAAGCCAAAATCAGCTAAAATTATGCAATGTCGTAAAATGGCGTGACTGGAATATGATGCAATCACCTGTGACGTATTGCCACATCAACAACTAAACAAACAATTAATATAGACTTCACTGATTGGTTTAAATATTCTTCGTATCATTTGTGACGTCATAAACATGTTACCCAACTGCAAATAACAAATAGACATATAGGTTCGTTCAGCGCCACGCTCCTGAATCAGTTATAAACAGGATAATCAACAGATATATGATAGGGTCAGGATTTTTTTTTGACTTGGAGACCTCGACTCGAGGAGTTTGCTGCATTTTTCTTGTTCTGATTTGTGCCCAGGGGGGGGGGGGGGAGATTTCCCAAAGATCACCTTTCATATTGGCACGTTCGATAACCAATTTCATGAACAGGCCTCATTTGCCATTGAAATGGATCTCTCAATGTTCGCTTGTGTTTTATCAGTATTCTCTGAAAGTTTGGATCGAGTAACTTCAATAGTAATACCGTAGTTTTGAAATGAAGATGTTGAACTGATGTTAAACTGAAACAAACGACATTTCAACGATTTCAAATTTTACTTTGCACATGCATGCGCGGCACTGAGAAAGCGCGTGCTCATGATTCAGTTCACGTGACCACATCCTGCAATTTGATTGGAGATCGTATAATGGGGAATCCCCAATATGATAGAATATGAAAGAATTATGAGAGCTACTCACTTCTTCTGATTTATGCCTCAGAAAATTCAAAATGGCTGCCTAGAGCAGGAATTCACCAATACTTAAGAGATCGTTAAAGTATGAATGCATAATACTACAATGATCTCAAATATTTATTGAAGGGAAGCGTAGATAAATATTACATTGTGACTGTACAGATTCATGATTTATATAGTGTTCATTGGGATTTGCTACTCCGTGGAGTTGCCATTTTCTAGTTGATTTATTTCTAGCTCTGATGTTTCTGGTACAATGCTGATTAAAATTAATTGATAAGTCGTATAAGTCGCATATTTTCTTCAATTCTAACATTTAATGTCCCAAACTCCCCCAAAGTGCAGAAAAGTACAAAAAAAGATTTTCAGTCAAATGTGTGCCTATTCGCCTAGTCAGTAGGCAGATTCTCGAAATTGGATCCAAATGCAGTGAGATACTCAGTCATTTTCTTGAGAAAGTTTTTTCTCACCCTCTGTTCAAGTGACTTCAGATTCCAAGAATTTGCTAGAATTCCATGAATGAACTATGGTTAAATTTTTGAAGGGATGATAAATATCCAAAATAATAAATAAACAGATTCAAATGTGATAATCCAGTTTATAAACTATTCTAAACATATTTAATTTCACATATTGTAATAAATGTAATTAACAATCTCAAGTATGATCACGGTAGGGATTGTCATCACGTGACCTTCGCAACTGATGGTGTCTGAACAAGTCGTAAGATTTTCTCGATTAAGCAAGAAAAACGAATAATTTTCATATTTATACTTTGTTAAATGCTTCAAATCCCGCCCCACTTGTGCTTACTATCTCAGTCTTTCAAATGAACCTTTTACAAGCAGAGGACGCATATTTTTTGAGATATCACTGTTTATTATTTCTAAAAATGATGTTGTCTGAACAACTCTTACATTCTGCATGATGGTGTCTGTACAAATTTTAAAATGCACTACTTGGAAAGTAGTCCTCGTGTTTTCGTGTTTTTTTTTTAAATACATCTGCTTCTTTCCAATGTGTTAAACAGAAATCAACCTAGAATTGTGATGTTTGCCTCACTACCATCCATTGGTGAATGAGGCAATCACTAGAATCAATTGGTGAATTTCCAACATTCACTGAACGATTTGCAAATCATGTGTGGGACAATCATCCATCAGAGGAATTTAGATACATAGTGTATTGTCACCAGAAACTGGGCGAATCATGTGTGGGACCAGAGGCCCGATTCATGAAAGCTCCGCAAGCTTGCGGAATTCCGCAACTCCCTGCGGTACCGCTATTTCCAATTCACAAAAGGGCCGCAAAATCAGCATCACCGCAGATATCTTGCGGTACCGCGAGAATTACGTCATTATCGTGCGGTACCTCTGTACTTACCGCAAGTCACTCTCTGAAAATTTAGCGTAATCAATCCCCTTGAGAACACATTTAACATTAGCTTTAAGTGATGGAAATACGTACATGTGTATTTCATATATCATCCTTTCATCAGGACAATTTTCTAAATAAATAAAATAAAAATTAGAATGTGATATAGACGTTCAAATATGGATGTAAAAGCAATGTGTTATGAGTAGTTTTTAAGGTTTTCAATGTTGCGGAACACCGTAACTTCAATTATGTACATTTTGAATATGAATAATAAGTACCCTCTGATAGCTATTTGTAATCGTCAGTCCATGAACACAAGAACGGTTGCCAAACTTATGGAGGGGAGTGTATCATATCTTATATCCATATCATTCTGCTAATTTCAATATCACCCCGGGAATATATTTTGAAGTAGATTTCGCTCTCGATTATGTTATAACTTTTATCATTATTCACCTGTCTAGATGATATACAACTCTGTAGCCACCGGGGGTTCGAGGGTTCCCCGGTCTAACTTTCCGAAAATTTCCCTGAGAGCCATTTCAGAAGAGTTTACGGTATTAAAAGATTGCTAAAATTAACCAATATATAAACAACACTGTAAAATCCCCAGAGGATCCCCCCAATCGAAGGACTCGTTTCCCCGAATATTTTCATTAGAAATTGTTAGTTATCGATCTAAACAAAGTATATTCCTTTAATGATAGATCACCATTTTTCGTATTAAAGTTGTGAGATTAAGGAGAAATGTTAAAAAGAAACAGAGATTTACGTGCGAAGAAAACCAGAAGATTTTTCTTGAATATTTCTTTCAATCATTATTAACTGTTTTGAAATGATATTATATTAGTAGTATGGTGTGGAAAGCATCGAATCATAGATATTTATTGGGGGATGCAGGGAATTACAAAATGCGTCTCTTTTACCGCAATTTAGAGTAAATAATGATGAACTTATAATTCTAGATCCTAGGACGAAGAACAGCCAGACATGAAGCAAGCGTCGCTCGAATTTTTACAGATATTTTTGTTTCCAATGTTCTTATGAATAACTGTGTAGAAACAATTGAGGTCATTGGGATCGCCTCTGTATATACTGGCTCCGTGGTTGTGGGTTTATCTCTTACCATCTTGAATGCAAAAGTGACGGCAGTTACCTTCGCTTGATATCGACAATGTGAGGAATTAAATTAGTCCAAATATTGTTTGAGATATACAATACAACAGTACAATAGAATACAATGTGTTATTTTATTCCGATACTATAAGAAATTGCAGTTTAGATAAATTGACTGTAGGTCAATAAGATAATTTTATTTACAACTTTACTCAATTTAACCCATAACAGCAACAAATTCTAAATATATTATCTAACGGGACGTAAAATTATGGGTTCAAGACGACGATACTGGTGATCTAAGCTTACCTCCCTCACAATGCAATCCCATGCCTCATTCTTTTTTTAAGCGTGAGCAGATCACTTAGAGAATGCGTCAACACATCATACTTTTTTCTATGATGTCCATCATAACTTCTAATTGAATACTGGAGAAAGCCTCCGAGCGTTGTTTTCCGACCTCGTCAGCCATTTTTTGAAGCAGAATGTCAACCCGAGGTCAAAATTAACAAGGGTCGCTATAAGGGGTCAAACTGACATAGGTGTCCTTAATTACCCAAATGCGAGTACGTAGTTACCAGTTTCACCACCAGGTGGCTGATTCGGGTCAATTAACATGGCAGGTATATAAGAAAGTTCCCTTAAACTTGAATATTATCAATTTAAGTGGCTCAATTTTCATATAACCCTTATGTGTCTGATACTTATACTAATGAAAATATGTCCAGTAAAGCAAAATATTATCTGTCCACTAAAAGAAAAGATATTTCATTTTTTGTGATTCTATAGCATGGGGTCTATGGGGAATCTCCCCGAGTTAGAAGTCACATTTTCAAAGAAAATTAATTTTTCAAAGTTGATAAACACTTTTTAAAACCACATTTCTAGATGTAGTTTTACATGTAGATTTCAAATATGATATTACTTTGACTGAATTTTGAATTTTTAATGACGTAAATCAAGATTATTTCTACTCGCATCTGGGTTATTAGTGACACTGGTCAAGGACATGGCTTGCGGACACGGAGATAACATGCGGACACGTCCTGGATTTGCGGATAGCTTTGTGAATACGACGTAACGCAATAAATTGCGGACACGCAATAGGTCCGCAAATGCATTGCGGACACGCAAGCTTGCGGAGCTTTCATGAATTAGGCCTCAGGCCCGTAGCCAGGGGGGGTTCGGGCGAACCCCCCCCCCCTGGCCAAAATTTCTTTGAAAATCATGCAGTTTTTCACCATTCTGACTAATTTTTGAGTGATTTTTGGCCATATTTGCCAAAGTGAACCCCCCCCCTAGAATTTTTTAGAAAAACGAACCCCCCCTTGGAAAATTCTGGCTACGGGCCTGGGGACAATCATCCATCAGAGGAATTTAGATACATCGTGTTTTGTCACCAGAAACTGGGCGATTAAGTTATTTGATCAGACGTTATTTATCAAATATTACAAAAGATTACTTGATGTACTTGAATAAAACAATATAAAATGAATCCATCAATCGATTAGACTGCCCAGGGATGGTATTATTCGGCATCTTCGCATGCTCGGTCTTCACTGCGTTCCGACAGGAGCCGAGTGAACGAAGATGATTATTCAGAGAAATCTGACCAATCAAAATACAGGATTTCTTCGTGATTTCATTGTCCTGATTAAAGTCAATTGCTCTGCAAAATTATGTAACATTAATAGGGTCTGACTTCTGCATTGTATAATAGCTTATTAAATATAGGCTATGTATAAAAAAACTTGTACCTTATGCCCACGTACCCACGTACGTGAGTCGTGATACAGTCTTTGAAGAGTTCAATTTTAAAAGCTTTAAAGGATTATCCGATCAATTTTTTAAAGATAGCGCCATTCAAAAGCTCGTCCAATAGAGAAAATCTACGCTAAATTAGGTTTTAATATGTCGGGGATTTGCTAAATGGAATTATGTGCTTCATTTTGGTTAATCACAGCAAGGGGAACGATGATTTTAGTCTCGGGGATCGTAAATTCATCCCAACACGTGAAAGTGTAATTGTTTGCTCAATTGTGGATGGTTATTCCGAATTGGATGACGGGGAGAGTAGTACACCCATAAAGACAAGGTTGTAATGCAACTTAAATGTGGCAATATAGTAGTGGTTGGAAGACTGACTCGTGTACTCGAGTTTTACTCGCATTTGTCCTAAAAATCAATTGATCGAGTTGAAAACTTGAACTCACGATTTGAAAATTTTGCCAAAAAATATTTTTCACTCGTTGTCACCTTACCTTGACTCGCGATTCGTCTCTCCTATTCGCAATTTCCATGCTTAAAGTTGTTATGTTCTGCTTAATCTGTATAGAATACAACTTATTTTCTATTTAATGCCATGTGCGGAAGACAAACATACTTGGATTTTATTCTGCGTTCGTTATTTTTATGCAAAAGTTTCATTTCCAGTTTAATGCATTCTGGGAATATCCAACAGCCGAGAATTTTAGATACGATTTAGACAATAAAAAGTATAGAGGCACTTGAAAGACTTGATCAAATTGATGAATTCTGCCGCTACTTGGGAAACTGAAACCGGAAGTAACTCAACTAAGTCAAATCGCGAATATAATCGTGGTTTTTCATGGCCCACTCGAGTGGAGATTTTCAGGCGAGTCCGACCACTACAATATAGTCACACCTAAAGAGGACTTCCTGGAAGTCCCCAGCAAATGAAAAATGTGACAATTTTAGTGAATATTGCTTCTAGTGAACGAGCATTAATAGATAAAGGATCCGTCATACTAAGTATATAAAACTGCTCCCAGGTCATTCATGAACATTATGACATATAATATGGTATTTAGTAAGGCGTTAATTATGGCATAGTGTCCAAGTGCATCCTAAGTGTTATTGAGCCCATAGTGACCTTGTAAAGGTCAAGTCAGTGCATATCTGATAATAAAAGATGCGTTCTGATCGTTCTAGGGATCAAAATATATGATTTACGTATTAAAAAATCGAAATTTTAGGCTTATTTGACACATTCTGAGCGATTCTAGGATCAAAACATATGATTTATTAAAAAATCAGGGGCATGCTCCCCTGAAAAAAGTTAAGATTTTTGGGCTGATTTATTGCGTTCTGGGCAATTCGAGGATCAAAATAAATGATTTATGTATTTAAATAAAAATTGAATATTTAGGCTTATTTGGCACCTTCTGAGCGATTAAAGGATCAAATATATATGATTAATTTCCGAATCATTTAGTTGACTTGCTATTCTAGTCAATTTAGAATTTTATAAAAAGAAAGTGGCAATCACATCAAAATACACCGTACATATGTCACCAAATGTTACCTTCTACCTCGAAATGTCAGAAAATTCTTCAAGAAAGCATAAAAGGTAGGTCCACATTATTTTAGGAGATATCTAGGGGGGGAGGGGGGCTCGCACTTTTATGCTGTATATTAAGACTGTTTAAATAAAGGAACCATAAAAACTAAACTCGCGTGAAAAGTCCGAACGGAATGCGTTCGCCTTTTTTCGACGTGCACTAATGCATTTACAATTCAGAATATAGACGAAGATTGAATGATCTTATATTTAAAAAATTGATCCCTTCAAAGACTGTATCATGCCCCACGTACTTGGGTCGGGACGTGGGTACGAGGTACTAGGTTTTTGGCTCACACAGTGAGCCTATGGGATTGACCAGGCGTCCGTCCGTCCGTTGGTTGGTCCGTCCGTCCGTCCGTCCGTCCGTCAACATTGGCTGCACAAATTAAAACTGCTATTCGGATTGAGTCATATCCACATTCATTTTATGCATATCAATAATGCCTATTTGACCTATCATCGCCATTTCCCAAGTTCGCCCGGTTTCCGAGAAATTGCGGATTTTGACGTCAAAAAGTCAAATTTTCTGTAAATACTAGATACTTTGTTGAAGTAGAACTTTCAAATAACTTTTAGTAGTTGGTGTATATGCAACTTATGTCCTCTGAAGATTTCAAAGCTCTTGGAATTACGTTTTTTGGTGTTTACCCTATAAAATTTGGAAAAAAGTAGGACTTGTCATTTTCAGGAAACTTTCTCATGTATAAAGTCAATGGCAGGTTTTGTGATTGACAAGATTCTTAAAGTTTGCCTTATACTTGATCATTTCCTGCAATAAATTACATCATTAATAGATTTAAGCATTCCCTACATATTTCTCAATATATGTCAGCATCAAATTTTTACCGTTTTTGAGATATTTGACGTCAAAAAACAGTAAAAA